CTTTCTTCGTCAGAATTTACTCGCCATTTTTTAATTGTAAGTTTGTACGATAAATGCAAACAGCATTCAAAAAGACGTATCCAGGCATGCAGTGTCGAAATTCCAAATCGGAGATTGCTTGTTTCTACTTTTCTTTGTAGCATCTTACGTATATCATTGAAGTCCTTGGATGTAGCATTGCATAAATAACATCGTAACGTTGATTTCGTTTCTGACACTGCATTACAAACCTTATTGTCAATCATCGTGAAATTCATGTTATATTGAACGCGGATCTCCATGCCATGTACTTGTGTCACAAGGGGATTAAGCGAATTTATTTGTTGTTCGATATTATTCACTTCATGAGCTGTTGTTTCAGCATTTTCGTGTTCAAATTGTAGTCTTATTGGTCTACAGAACCTAGGAGATAATGTTCTAGGATTCTGCCATATTACAAGATCCGTATCTAATTTTTCGTCTTTACAAACAAGTTGTAATGGCACAAATGACGTGAAGAACACATTTTCATCTGATATGTCGGCTTCGTTAAATTTCTGCTTATAAACACTGTATCCAGAGCTTCCGTCACAACCCCACTTACAAGTAAGATGCAAATTTTTAATGTTTTCAATGCTCAAAGTACCAATAACTTCCCTTTGCAATAATAAAATACGTTGTGCCGTGTGATCTAGTATACTTTGTAATTTTACTTCAGCATAATTCTCTTTGATCGTGATGTCAGTACGTGGTGGATAACAAAGTCTTTTAGATTTTACAACATTATTATAGGATGGATATAATTTACAGTTATTTTCTTTGCCTATGTTTCTAATACTTTGATACGTACGTTTTGAGAACTTGTGTTCAATTAGAACTGACAATGCTGCATCATTCGATAAAGTTTGTTCAACTTGAGATGTAGCAGCTTTCATATATTTAGTAGCTCTTGTTGGGCTTGTCAAAGTTACATCTTTTACAATTTTCGAAGCATTTAATTGTCCTGAAGAGCGAAGATTCATTTGAGTAGCGTAAGCTAATTCTTCAGTGGTGTTAGATGTGCGAAGTTTTTCTGTTTTTCTGCGCCTCGATCGGTCAGACGCATCAGAAAATGATAAGGATGGACGACCTGTTTTTGATTGCGTTGACAGAGATTCGCCTTTTATTATAAATTCTGCAGTGTTTAATAGCCAGTTGGCGTATTTTTTTTTAAATTCTGCTCCGTTCTATTGCAGTTTTGCCATTTAATTTGGAGTGAATGGAAATATTTAGAAAGTGCAGGCTTTTGATCTGCAAGAATACAAATGTTGCGCCCTAATTTCTCAGTCCATGCTGCTTCTAAAATTTCGATTTGTTCTGACACGCTATCCTTCATCTTTGTTTTCATAATGTTAAATATTTTTTCGTTCGTGCATTTTATTACGTTTGTGTCGGATCCTGTACATAAAACAAATATGATTATAAATGTTAATATTTTAATATTATTTATATATTACGCAGATTTATGTGTTACATATCTTGTTCCAGTTAAATGTCATCAATGTAATAATTTATAAAAATAATATTAGATATAACTAATTTATATTAATAATTAATTTATAATATTATTTATATAATTAAAATAACTGAGATTTTTCAAAGGCTTTGTTAATTATAAATAAAATTAGATAAGTCAAAGGCAAGAGCCACCATTCACAAACTATTTGCAAAAAAGAAAAAAAAACGAAAATTTTATATGTAATTACATTATACAATACAAACAAATTTAATATGTAATTCTATTATATTACACAATTTGATCGTCTATTATAATTACAAAATAATCGCTTATCATTAATTTAGTATAAATACAAAATATATATATTATCTACAACAAATTAATTAGTAAAAATATTAATCATTCTTTTAAACGTTTCGATCCTTTTTTCGGATCATCTTCAGTAGATATAAAATAAATTGTAATAATTGTGATGTTTATAAAATAAATTGTAATGATTGTGATGTTTCGTATGTGGGACAAATTAAAGAACACCGATCTGATGTTAATAAAAGATCTGGGCTGCCTTTGGTAATATCTACACATAAAATCACCACTAACCACGATAATATATATATTTCGTATTTATACTAGATTAATGATAAGCGATTATTTTGTAATTATAATAGGCGATCAATTTGTATAATATAATGGAATTACATATTAAATTTGTTTGTATTGTATAATGTAATTACATATTAAATTTTCGTTTTTTTTCCTTTTTTGCAAACAATTTGTGAATGGTGGCTCTTGCCTTTGACTTATCTAATTTTATTTATATAATTATAAATTAATATTGTTATAAATTATTGTAATACTATAAAAACGAATGGTAATATAATAGCATTTGTAGTTACAAATTATAAAGAAATGTATGTGGCAGAAAAATAGTTGTATTTCTACTAAACTTTTGGATGGTACTGTACTTTCTGGAGAATCTAAAGCCTTAGACACAATGCGAGATAATAGCAGACCCTTGGAACAAAAATTTTAACGGACAGAAAATGTACGGCGCGATTCACCTATATTAAAATGCTTGGCACAGCATTCGATACCGAAACAAATAACGCGTAACGCTTTACAAAACTTTATCGCATTTTTACACGGGCAGCTACGGGCAGCTAGAAATTGCACGATTCGAAAGAGGAAGGTTTAATTTAAAAGATTTTACCAATCCGACCTTGGAATGCGGTGGTATACATAACTATTTCGTTCGGTGAAAATTTAATTTCTCCAAAATACATTGTATTGTACAGACCAAAGTTCGATTTTAAAAAAACAACATATGTAACACATATTTATATAATATTATCGTTTTGTTTTGTTGTACATACCACCAGGAACACAATCCATTTTGCACGATTTAATTTGAACACTTTATCCTTGAAATATTAACGTTAGACCAGAGCGGTGAAATTTCGGTTAACTGCGACTGCCACAACTGTTCAGTGCGAAGGTCAACTTTGAACTGAGCTAGAGTTTTATGTACAGAAATGTGATCTTTGGTATTTCAGCATGAGGTGGGGGGTACAGTCCTCTACAAAATCCAATAGTCACATTTCATAAAATCAAAAATTTTTTTTTTACTTTTGGCCACGTTTTCGGGATTCTGGCCCGCGCTGTACGGTAGCAAACGCTCTTCGTATTCGTTCTTCTAATTCGTCTTGCGTTTCTATGCGGTTAAAATAAATTTTTTCTTTCTGCGCACCCCACAAGAAAAAATCACAAGGATTCAAATCTGGTGATCTTAGTGGCCATTGCCAGAAAGGTGCTCCACGACCCATCCAATTATTTCCATACGTATTATTTAAGTATTCTCGGACAGGTGCTGTTATAGTTAAAACAATAAAATTAATAATTAATTAAAATTAAATAATTAATTAAAACAATTTTAGAACCAGTAATTAATGATATTTATAAAAAATTTCAATTAGAAAATTGAATTAATATAAAAATTATTTATGCGAAATAAAAATCGATTGAAAAGTATATTTGAATAAATAAAAAATTGTTGTTATTGCATTGATTTACGGTATTTTATGCACTTTTTAGTCAAACATAATTTTAATCTACGAAAAACAATATTTATCCGTATAAAATAAAACTTCTTTAAAACAAAAAATTGCGAAAATACAAACATTAAAATAATAGCAAAGCGTCATGTGTTTATTAAAAATCAGAAGTTTAAAAACTCTCAGAAGCTAGTATTTTATGATATAAAAAACATATTGCAAACTAATACTAATAGTTGTAAATTCTTTATAAGTTGTACTAAAAAAATTTAAACTTTGCATTAATTTGTTATTTAATTGAGACCTGAAAATTTTTATTAAAACAAATTATGTTTTCAAATATGTTTAATAATTTATAATAATTGTAACCTGCATTGTACGCTAGACATCCATCATGCATAAAAATGATGTTACGTCGAAATAGCGGCATATCGTCGATAGCAGCGGGAGGAAAAAGTAAATTTGGCAACTCATTACGCAAAAAGTCCAGATAATTTAAACCATTTAATTTTTCTGGCAAGAATACTGGTCCAATCTAAGGATAATTATTTGAAATTCATCATAAATAAATACACATTATGGCTTTATAGAAATTTTTTATATTGACAAAAGCAGAAGTAAAAAAAACGGAATGTTTACAAATGCTAAAATAGTTATCTAAAGGTGCCTTTACATAGGAGCGTCGAGCGTCGAGCGTCGAAAGGTATGAGCATGCGTAGTGATGCCTAGTGATTTGATGCTGAAACGCAGGATCAATTAGAGCAGTCAGTTGATTATTACTGTCATTTAAATTGCGAAACATTAAAAAAATGTCGATTAATTATCGTTATCATCAATGGTTGTTAGAATGCAATAGCATTATCAATCATGAATATAACGAACAAAGAAAAGTTGAATTAATTGCAGCGATACCAGCAATAGTCAATATAATAAATGCAAACAATAAAAAGAAGAGGAAATTCTGGGTGTCAAAAATATTTGCCGAAAGGCAGAGACACGGATTGTATCACGCAACATTGCCCAATGTAAGGCTGGAAGATCTGCGTTTTAGAAATTTTACAAGAATGACTACGATATAATTGGAAGATTTGTTGTTAATAGTAGGACATGATTTAAAGAAACTTTATGTTGTGCGTGAACCTATAAATGAAGAGCAACGTTTATTAGTTACTTTAAGGCATGTATACTTGTAAACTTAAACTATATTATTGTAATAATGTGTGATAACAAAAAATCTCTCTGACAATGTAAAATAGCAAAGTATATATTATATATTTCTTATACTCATTAATAGATATCTCGCCTCAGGAGACAGTATGACATCTTTGTCATATCAATTTTTAATATCTGTAAGTAGTATTTCAAATATTATACGTGAAACATGTTCTGTCTTATGGGAGCGTTTATATCCTATTATACTTGCACAATGTGACACAAATGACTGGAAAGAAATTGCAAATGACTTTGATAATAAATGGCAATTCCCTCATTGTATTGGTGCAATTGATGGAAAACACGTCATTATTCAAGTAATTCTTAAAATGACAAAAATATGTAAATGAATATATATATAACTCAAACTGAAGCAGTTTAATTTTACTTAATATTATTTCAGTGTCCTGACAACGCAGGATCAGAATATTATAATTATAAAGACAGTCACAGCATTATTTTACTCGCAATAAGTGATGCAAATTACATCATACGCTGTGTAGACATTGATGCTCCTGGAAGACAGGGTGATGCAGGCGTTTTTAAGAATAGTGCTATGGGCTTATTATTAGAAAGAAAAGAATTAAATATTCCACCTCCTGAAGCACTATATGACAACGGTCCAATTTTGCCATATGTATTGGTAGGAGACGAGGCATTTCCTTTAACAGAATATATGATGCGACCATATCCAGGAAGAAATGGAATGACATTAGAGAAACGGATATACAATTATCGTTTATCTCGAGCTCGTCGAACAGTCGAAAATGTGTTCGGTATCTTAGCTAATCAATGGCGCCTTCTAAGACGACCAATTATAGCGAACATTTCAAAGGCAATAAAAATGGTTCAAGCAATAATTTGTCTTCATAATTGGCTGAGAAAGCGTGATGTTGAGCGAGAAACGTATATAACACAGGATCTTGCAGATCGATCTGTATTAGACGGAGACATTGAAGATGGCTCTTGGAGAAACAATGTTAACGATTATCAAGGATTTATGGATATAAGATGTACTCAAGCGAGAGCATATTCGTTACGCGCAGCTCACATTTGAGAAGAATTTTGCAGATATTTCAATGAAGAAGGAGAAGTAGGTTGGCAAAACATTCAAATATACAAATGAAGCAAATGTAAATGTATTATATAATGTATTATGTAAATGTATTATATCATTTGTACTTTTGAATCAGCCTAAAGGTAATATTGCGGTAACTGATGTGTACGGGTTGTACGTAAGTTGAATTATCGGGCGTGTGCCCGTCGTATGTTGTCGTGGAATGAGTGCTTCACGAATATACGACCGAGAATGTTTCTCTCTCACTTGCTTATATTTATTGAAAAACTCAGAAGGTAGTGACCGCACTCGAGATACAAAGTATAAATGCTTTAATTAAAATACAGCGTATAATGGTATACAATAGCGGTTAAGTCGGCCGCACGTGTGTCTCTCGTTGTCTCTGAGACGATTCTGATTCGTATTAGCGGGGACCGCGCACGATGGGTCGCGATCGGCAACGGAAGCCTCCGAAGGCAACGACGAAGGACCTGACATATATATGTGCGGGTACCCGAATTCGAGCGGGTAGATTGACCGGGCGATACGCGTAAATAGTTTATTGAATACCAAACAAACGCCGCCCGCCTTGAAAGAATGCGCTTTCAAAATGAATAGAAGAAAGAATGAGCCGCAAGGCAAACATATAAGACTTATCAGTACAATAAAATAAAGATAATAACGCAACAGAATATAAACCATGACTGATAACACTTCGTGAGTTTAGTACTCTTATAAATAGTGATTACAGTATCCTATAAACTATAATAATATATATTTGTTTGCAAATTAAACTAAATTACTATAGAAAGGAAGACATGAATATAAATTTTCCTATGATATATCTTAATAGCTAAATATTCGCGTCGTGACTATTACGTGAGATTGCATCTTAGTTGCGTATATTAGTTATCCGTCGGTTGGATTTCTGAGGGTAATATCGCGAGCTTCGACAATGGTCTAACATAAGTACCCTTGGTGGTTTTTATAGTTGCAGTTCGTACTACATTGTCGGATCCGGGATGAATCTCTAAGACGCGACCTATAGCCCATTGTAGAGGGGGTAGATTTTGTTGTTTTACAAGTACGAGCTGATTGACGCGTAGTTGAATGCCCGAATTTTGTTTCCATTTCGACCTTTCCTGCAACGAGCCTAAGTACTCGCTACTCCATCTGCGCCAAAAGTGCTGTCGAAGTTGCTCCACGCGTTGCCATCGTAGGAGCCTATTCTCATTGATCTCGCTAAAGTCTCTGCAAGGAAAACTATTTAGTGCTGTACCAACCAGAAAGTGACCCGGACTAAGATAATACAAGTCGTTGGGATCCTCGCTTAGTGGCGTAATAGGGCGCGAATTTAATATAGCTTCTATCTCAGACAATACAGTCTGCAGTTCTTCAAAATTTAAATGGGCTTGACCCACAATTCTAGTCAAGTGATGTTTGGCGGATTTTACCGCCGCTTCCCATAAACCGCCAAAATGAGGAGCGTTGGGCGGAATGAATTCCCAGCAAATGCCCTCGTTGGCACAGAATTGATTGAGATCGGACTGCGTTTCTTGTTTGTTATAAAATTCGTATAGTTCCTTGATTTGCTTTTTTGCCCCGACGAAGGTGGTCCCATTATCCGAGTACATGTGGGTCGGTTTCCCTCTTCGCGCGATGAAACGTTTGAATGCACCAAGAAAACAGTCTGTCGTTAAATTGCTTACGACTTCGATGTGCGCGGCTTTAGTGGCAAAGCATACGAAAATGGCTATGTAGGCCTTATGATTGCGAGAGTTGCGCCTGTTTCCTTCGCGTATTGTGACTGGACCGGCATAGTCTATCCCACAATGCGCGAACGGTCTAGATGGGGTGACTCGACCGGCGGGTAATGATCCCATTAAGGCTTCCGAGAATCGCGGTTTTGCCTTAAAACAAGTTACGCATTCTTGTATGATCTTTCGCGCTACGGATCTTAGCGAAAGTGGCCAGAAACGTTGCCGGACGGCGGCCATAGTACCTTGCGTTCCGGCGTGCATATTCCGAATATGCTCTTGTCTAATTATTTTTTGTGTTAAATCGTGATTGCGCGGCAGCAAAATGGGATGGCATGCGTCAAAATCTAGGTTTGAGTTTTTAAGCCTACCGCCCACCCGGATTAGGTCATCTTTATCCATGAAAGGAGTTAACGGCAATAGACGGCTGCCTGCATTAATGGTTGTTCCTAATTTTAATGCTTCGTATTCTTTAGAGAAGACTTGTTTTTGTACCGCCCTGCACACGATTTCCGTTGCAAGTAAAAGTTCAGACGAAGATATTGTTCTATTTGGCGCGAGATTCCGTTTCTTAGAAAATCTCATGCAATACGCAATGATCCGAAGGATTTTGTTTAGACTTGAATGCTTGGTTAATAGCTGGATGACCATGCATTGGTCATGCTTGACGACAATCGCGGCTATTCTTCTTTGTTCGGGCATATCCTCCCTCGGATATGTAAAACTTCCCGATGGCCACTGATTTTCATGCAACTGTAGAAAGCTGGGCCCGTGCCACCACATGGATGATGCGATTAAATCATACGGATATATGCCTCTGGATAGTATGTCTGCAGGATTGTCGGAAGAGGAGACGTGACGCCACTGACTGATCTGAGTCAACCTTTGAATTTCTCCGACTCTATTTGCCACGAATACTGACCAGTTGCGCGAGGATGAAGCTATCCAATTCAATGCTATGGTGGAGTCCGACCAAAGAAATGCTTGCATGGGCGAGCCCAATGAGTCTTTCACCTTAGTTATGAGTTGAGCTAACAGAACCGCTGCCGATAGTTCAAGTCTTGGCAGTGACACGGCCTTGAGTGGTGCCACACGGGATTTTGAACACAGCAACTGTGAACGATATTCACTAGATTCGATGGTTGTGCGTACATATATACATGCGCCATATGCATTTTGACTTGCATCACAAAACCCGTGTAATTGCACGAGCTGTGAGTCTGGGTTGTATTTGACACCCCTAGGGATTTGTAGCTGATTTACAGCATGTAATTGAGACTTGAATTTTAGCCAGCTTGTATGTAATTCCTGCGGCACAGATTCATCCCAATGGATGCCGGCCTTCCACAGGTCTTGAAGAATGAGTTTGGCAATTACAATGACGGGTCCGAGGAGACCCAGAGGATCAAACAACCTGGAAACTTCAGAAAGAATAACGCGCTTAGATACTGCGCTGTTAGTGGAATCTGAATTGTATGCAAAGTGAAAAACATCCTTGACTTGATTCCATTGAATCCCTAGTATGCTAGAATCTGTCTCGTTATGAATGGTAATTACTTCCCCATCACGATCCTTTATATTTTTTAGGAGTTCTGGGCAATTCGACGCCCACTTACTGAGTTCGAAAGATCCTATTCTCAGCAATTCTATTAGTTCATCTCGGAGTACCTTAGCCTCGTGCAGAGTATCTGCTCCTGACAAAAAGTCATCTACGTAAAAACTGCGTTTCACCTCTCTAGAGCCTACCGGGTACTTAGCTGCGTATTGATCGGCATGATAAGTAAGGCACCTGCTGGCCAAGTATGAAGCTGATGATGTTCCATACGTAACTGTCAATAGTTCGTATGTGTCGACGTTGTTAGCAGGGTCGTCCCGCCATAGTATCCTTTGCAGACGTGTTTGAGAAGGATCCACCAATACTTGTCTATACATTTTTATTACGTCGGCGCTAAAAACATAAATGAAGAAACAAAATCGGATCAGTATGGATGTTAGCTCTTGCTGCACTACTGGCCCTATCATAAGTGCATCATTTAAAGATAAGCCCTCGGTAGATTTGCATGAAGCGTCAAATACTACGCGGATCTTTGACGTTTGATTGTTAGATTTGAATACGCAATGATGCGGTAAATAAAAACATGGGGAACTCTCATCGGGCTGCAATTCTATTTTTTGCATGTGCCCTAACGATATGTACTCATTGATAATTTGTTTGTATTGCTCTTCTAGATCGGGCTGTCGTTTAAAACGTTTTTCGATGCCCTTCAAACGAGACATGGCAATGCTTCGAGAGTCTCCTAACTTGTCGATTAATTGATCTCTAATAGGAAGTTTGACCACGTATCTGCCTTGTGGATTTTGATGAATATTGCTGATAAAATGCTGCTCACAATAACTTTCCTCAGGAGTCAAATTATTGGAGTCATTTTTCGCGTCGTCTAATTGCCAGAACCGACTTAATTGATCATGTAACTGCTCGTTAGTTATAGATGCGTGTAGAGAATGTACCTTTGCGTGAATTGATTTTGAATCAAACATTCGTCCTGCTAGGATCCATCCAAACCTCGTTTTTTGTAATTTAGGATGCCTGTCCGATGATTGTATCTGTCCTACAAAGAGAAGATCCCAAAATATTTCGGCTCCTATTAGAATGTCGATATCAAAAGATACGTGAAATTGTGGATCAGCTAGCTTTATATTTCGTGGCAGTTCGAAATCCCTTCGCCTTAACGGTATGCCAGGGAGTTTTTCTGTAACTTGATCTGAGACAATACAATCGATTGTAGCACTGTATGAATCTATTCGCGATTGCAATTCGATTTTTACTGCTTGCGTGGCCGTCGTAACCGTTCCGTTCACGCCGGATATGGCTACGCTTAGTGATTTGGGAGTGAGGCCAAGCCTCGTCATGAATTTCCTTGATATGAAATTCGCCTGAGAACCACAATCCAACAGAATGCGACAAGGTCGAAGCACGCCCTGATAATCGCGCGCGTGCACCATGGCCATTGACAATATGACGTTAACACTTCCCCCTGCGACGTGTGTCGCTACTACGGCAGAGGATTCTGCGGAGTTGGAGTTGTCGCTGCCCTTTCCTGAAGAGCTAGAGGAATTAGGCGCTTGCTGCGAGGCGGTCGTCATATGAAGAAGCGTGTTATGCTTGGCTTGGCAGACCTTGCAACCTCCTGAAGTGCATTTGCTAGCGATGTGCGTGTTGGAACGCAGACAATTGAGGCAAATTTTGCGAGAACGAATTTCCGCGATCCTTTGAGGAACCTGAAGTACCAGAAAATTCTTACAGTAATAAATGGAATGCTCCCCTCGACAGTAGTTGCATTTTAACTTGACGGTAGCTGCGCATGCTGTTTGACGCTTGGCGTGTGCCTTGGCAGTGCCGTCCTTGACGTTCGCGACGTTGCTAGATTTGTTTGTGACTTCGAGCATCTGACACTGTCGTGTGATAAAATCGAAGAATTGTTTGGATGTTGGTAATTCGTTACCCGTAAGCGAAGATTGCCACTCGCGTAGTGTGAGGGGATCGAATTTCGAGCATAGCACGTGTATTAAAATATCGTCCCAATACGCGGTGGGTCGCTTTAGAGCTTGCAACGCGTGTATGTGCTTTGTCGCGCCATCCGCGATTTGCCTTAACTCGGTATAATTTTCCCTTGTCATGGAAGGTAATTCTATAATGGCCTTGATATGATTTTGCACGATTACCCGTTTGTTATCGTACCGCTCTTTGAGAAGATTCCACGCTGCATTGTAATTCGCGTCCGAAATCTCTAAAGAATTAATTACGCTGCTCGCATCGCCTGTGAGAGAGGCCTTTAAATATTGAAACTTTTGTATGCAACTGAGAGACGCGTTTGTATGTATGACCGACGTGAATGTATCGAAGAACGGGAACCACTCGTCATATTTCCCCGAAAATGTCGGTAAATTCAATTTAGGTAAGCGCACGCGGGAAGTTGCGTCCGAGATTTCCGAAAGCGTTGCCGGCGAAACAGCGGCAGTGCGCGAGTGCGTGGGAGGGCTTAATAACTCCCTGATTTTAGCGGATACGGCATAAAATGCATCCTCGAACGCAGCCCGATCGTTACCTTCGGCTTCTTCTAAAATTTCTATTTGCGTCTGTACAGTGTGGTATTCGGCCCAATAATGTTCTAGTTTTAATTTGCGCTCCTCAAGTTGAGCCGTTGTCGAGGTATTGATAGCAGTAATTGTCTCGACGTAATGTTTTATTCGCGTGCAGGATCCCTTGATCATAGCGCGTTGTCTTTTAAGTACCGCGAGATTTTCTGTATTAGACATTTTAAAACTAATTGAATTGAGACACACGTATTATTCGAATCTGGTTGGTATTCGTCACTAGATAGCTACCCTTACCTTACATTTATTTCTTATTGAAGAAAGAAAACGCGTGAACGCTCGGGAATCCTTTGTCGGTCGTCCTGCGGAGAGGAGGGGGGGTGTCGTCGTCTCAATGCGCTGTTTGGCCCTCGATGCGTCGTTCGTCTTGTCGAATATGGCCGACAAGGATCGCCGTGACTGCTGGTTCGATTGCCCGTCCGTTGGAATTATGCCGTTGTCGCCAATGCGGGGCAATCGTTGTACTCGCCAACGAGTAAAATAGCCGCTCCTGACCTCTCCTTTGTTAGGACGTCTGCCGATGTATGGGAAATTCCGTAGGCCGATACCGTACGTGGTAACTCAATACGTTGGCCTTTTTTAATTTGGCTTGCGCCCTTTGTGTTATATCCTCTAGAAGTTTGTTGGACACTACCTTGACTGAGCTTGCGGAATTCCTTGGATGAATCCGGCTCGAAGGACCAAATGTACGGGTTGTACGTAAGTTGAATTATCGGGCGTGTGCCCGTCGTATGTTGTCGTGGAATGAGTGCTTCACGAATATACGACCGAGAATGTTTCTCTCTCACTTGCTTATATTTATTGAAAAACTCAGAAGGTAGTGACCGCACTCGAGATACAAAGTATAAATGCTTTAATTGAAATACAGCGTATAATGGTATACAATAGCGGTTAAGTCGGCCGCACGTGTGTCTCTCGTTGTCTCTGAGACGATTCTGATTCGTATTAGCGGGGACCGCGCACGATGGGTCGCGATCGGCAACGGAAGCCTCCGAAGGCAACGACGAAGGACCTGACATATATATGTGCGGGTACCCGAATTCGAGCGGGTAGATTGACCGGGCGATACGCGTAAATAGTTTATTGAATACCAAACATAATGTTATTATGCTAAAGAGAAACACACAATGCTTCGTAAATATAATAAATATTAGAAATCAATGTACACGTTGACAATAAATTATACATATAAAGTAACGTCTCAATATATTTTTAAATGAAGTTCAAAAAGAACTGTTACTAACATCATCTTAATTTATCTTATAAAATTATTAGGTACACAAAAAAATTATATTATAACAAAATAAAAGAGTAATGTAATTCAAACAAATAATTGTACGTTTCAATTATATTAATGAAGCAAGAACAAGAAAACAAAAATAACATAGGAACATAGCAATTATCAATATATATCATGACAAATTATTCACCCTCATTTTGTTCTTCCTTAGTAATATCTTGTAGAAATGTTAATAAAAGTGTATCCTGTGTTTTTTTATTCAGTTTAAGCAATTTTTGTTTTATATAAATAAACATACCATCCAATGCATCCATTTCAGGTGGCTTTGGAAGATTTATAACAGGCATTTCTTTATTACAAAATGCTTCAGCTATACGATTCATTGATGCACTTAAATCATTGTTAATTTTAGCTCGTTTAGTACTAGGTTTAACATAAAGCTCATCTGCAAAGAGATTGTTTGACTGTATCTATAATGCCTGTTCATTAATACGTAAACACTTTCTATAATACAATCGGTCAGTCAGCAAATAATAGATAAGATGTATAACTATTAAACCTACCTTCGTTACTTTCATGTTGTTCATTGCTGTCTAAGCTGTTCTCAAAAAGATTGTTGGACTCGATACTTTGAGTCGTAAGGTTAGAAATGGAGCTGTAAAATAAAGTATGTTTCCAATAAAGTATGTAAAATAAAGTTGTACACATGTGTAAAAAGTGATATACTTTCTGCTTGTAGAAACTGAACGTAAAAAGGACATTGCTTCAAAATGTTTCCATGGTTTTTGTGAATTTGATCTCGCTGACCCACTTGGTTTTTTTCCTTCAGCCACTGCTTTACTAAACGTGTCTTTAAGTGATTTCCACCTCTTTTTAGCATCTTCAGGACTGATACGACCTAAAATATTTATAAAAACATTCTTTAAAAATATTTAATAGCTACGATCGAATTGGCGTACAAATGCTTTGAAACATTTGTTTTCTCTTTTAGCTTTAGAGATTCCAAGGAAAAAAGAGAAAGAGAAATGCTTTGAAGCATTTGTAGTGCTGACTCAATCACAGCCAACATCAATATTTTTTTTTTATAATTTAGGTTTATGTGAAAATTGGTACCATTAAGAGCATTAAAAATTTCTTTCCATAACTCTGCAAGTTTGTATCTGCCACGAACAGACAAAGGCAATGTATAATCATACAAAGGAGGTCTTTTTCTGACTTCTTCGATTAACGTTTCTTCTAATATACTTTTGTCTGTTGTCAAGCACAGTATTGATTGTCGATCTTCTTCTACAATAAAGCAATCATCTGTGGATTTAACCACTCTTTCGTCTATTCCTTTGTTGTCAAATGATAAGCTCTTTGATTTATCTTGTAGTAATACAAGTTGTTCCTCATCACATTTTTTTTCAAAATATTGTCCTTATTCTGCAATATCACAATAGTACTAGTTACAATTATAATACCTAAAAAAATGAGTGGATTATCATCGTATACTTGCATTAATTATAGTTCTTACCATTAGTAGGATAAAACATTTTAGTATCTCCATTAATTGTGATACTATACTAATCTTTCATGCATTGATGATTAAAAATCTTGTATTTATTAACTTTTGATATGCACACTCCACATGTTAAATCCGATTCCTATACAAAGAGTACACTGTTATAGATAATACTCATGTTATATTTATAAAAAAGTGCAAATTATTTTCTTCATGTTAGGTTAAGTTGTAATATACGGTGCCAATTGCGCAATTCTATAATATATCTACTGTTTAATAATATCTATTATATATTATATACATTAATATATATTTTTCCATGTAGAATATAATATAACATATTAACCTTTATAGCGTCTATTAAACTTTTATCACTAGACATTGTAATAAGCGTCAAGATGCTGAAATCTGCCAGTTCTGAATCATGCGCAAGGGCGTTGCGCACGCGTTTTTGAAGCTTGACGCTCGACGCTCGACGCTCCTATGTAATGGCAAAGCTTAAATGAAAAGCTAAAATTTAAACCAAAAATAAATACGTAAATCTCCA